GTGGAATGGAGAAAGAGAGAGAGGGAGGGAGGGAAGGCAGGGAGGATGGAAGGAAGGAATGAGAAAATGAAGGAAGGAAAAAGGGAAAGGGAAGGAGAAAAGAGAAAGAAGGGAAGGTGGAAGGAGGGAGGATGGAAAAGGGAAGGAGAAGGAATGAAAGTGGAATGGAGAAAGAGAGAGAGGGAGGGAGGGAAGGCTGGAAGGAAGGAAGGAAGGAAGGGGAGAGCGAAGGAAGGAAGGAAAGAGGGAGGGGAAAAGGAAAGGGAAGGAGAAAAGAGAAAGAAGGGAAGGTGGAAGGAGGGAGGATGGAAAAGGGAAGGAGAAGGAATGAAAGTGGAATGGAGAAAGAGAGAGAGGGAGGGAGGGAAGGCTGGAAGGAAGGAAGGAAGGAAGGGGAGAGCGAAGGAAGGAAGGAAAGAGGGAGGGGAAAAGGAAAGGGAAGGAGAAAAGAGAAAGGTGGAGGGAGGGAGGAAGGAAAGATGGGAAGGAGAAGGAATGAAAGTGGAATGGAGAAAGACAGGGAGGGAGTGAAGGAAGGAAATGTAAAATGAATAAATGAATGATGCAATCTAAGTTAGAATCAAATTTGGAAGGAAATGCTGAATCGATCCTTGCCAGGCATAAACAATGATTTATTCCCCTTTATGGTTTTAATAAACGTGGGTTTTGAAGGGTTTTTCCCTCCTCTTGGTCTCATCTTCTTCTACTGCAACGCCTCCTATTGCAAAATCCAGGATATTTTGGGCTCGGCCCACAAGGTTGAAGGAACTATTTTTATGGTGGCTTGAAGAGGGGTTAAGATTTTGGGTGGATTCAGATTTTGATGCCGTTTTATTGTTTGTTAGTGAAAGGCAATATTGTTGTGATGGGGAAGACGCTGTGGTTGCCCTGAGCATCCACACAAACCAGATGGAAGTCAAGCTGAGCCAAATAATAATAATAATAAAAACTATTCTTCTTCTAAGTCTCACGGGGATTTTTTGAGGGGGACGGCAGAATAGGAGGACGACCGAGCTGGAAGGGACCTTGGAGGTCTTCTAGTCCAACCCCCTGGTCCAGCAGCAGGACTCGGACCATGCCAGACACACTGCTGTCCTTTTTCTCCTTCAAATGCAGAGTTTGGAACCCGGCACAGCCGTCCAGAGGCCGAAGCCCCGAGGCCTGCGTTGTCCCCCAGGACGGAGACTTGGCTGCTCACCAAAGCCGGCAGAGGGTGGGACTATACCAGCCCGTCGTAGAGAGAGAGCGCCTGGACGATGGAAGGGTCGGCCTTGGAGCCCTCCTGGAACTCCTGCAGCGTCAGTTTCCCATCCGCGTTCTGGAAGACAAAGGAGAACCGGGCGTAAGAGTCGGAGAGGGTCCCCGAGAGATCATCTGGCCCATCCCGCTTCTGGGTGCCAGATTTAATGAAGCAGCTCAGGGGTCAGCTCAGGGGAGCCAGAGCGAGGGAAGGCAAGGGGGCCTCCGGGGTCTCCACCTGTTGGGGGCAGCCGGGTGAGTGGGAGGAAGAGACTCACTTTGTCCATCATGGCGAAGATCCTGTCCACCCGCTTCTCTGGCGTGTTCTCCTCTTCCGGCAGCTCCACCGTGTTTCCCTGGTCGGAGAGAAGGAAGACGGGGATCCCATGGACTCGGGGGGACTCAGTGAAGCCCACGAAGGCACCTACGAGTCCAGGACTCCCCAGCCGTTCGGGCCGCAGGGACCACGACAGGCGCAATTTTAAATCCCTGCCTAATGACCGGTTGGGTGGCGTGGCCAGATGGTCATGTGACTGGGTGGGTGTGGCCAACTCAATGTCACTCACATCAAGGGGCACCTCGCTAGCCTCTACTTGCCCCTCCCTTCCCAGCCCCTCCTCGCCTGCCCTCCCAGCAGGGGTGGGTTTCTCGCCCCGTTCCAATCGGTTCGGTTGGAACGGGGCG